CCCGCCTATCTCTGGTCGGTGCTGGGTCGTCCGCAACCGGATAGTGTCAAGCATGACCTTGGCTATACTGAAGCTGGTTTCCAGGGCACCGTTACTAAGGCACAGGTCTGGGCACGTGCTCTAGATATTACGTCGGAAATACAAAAGCAGGTGCGCGATTGTCGCTCCGAGCCTGTGCTTTACCCAGGTCTTATCCTGAACTGGGGCGGCTATGAGATGACCACGGGCGGTGTCGAGCGCAATGTGCCCTCATTATGTGGTCAACGCAAGTGCCAAGTGGGTTACACGGGCGCCAACTGTCAACAGTTGGTTGTGGACAAGGAACCGCCAGTTGTGGAGCATTGTCCCGGAGATTTGTGGGTCATTGCCAAGAATGGCTCGGCCGTGGTTACCTGGGACGAGCCACACTTTAGCGATAACATTGGTGTCACAAAAATATACGAACGCAACGGACATCGCTCGGGCACAACCCTGCTCTGGGGCACTTACGACATCACCTACATTGCATCCGATGCCGCTGGCAACACGGCATCATGCAACTTCAAGGTCTCGCTATTAAGTATGTAATTTCTTGCATATTCTTGGAATCACGTTTAACCTTCTCCTCTTCCTTTGCTCCAGCTGAATTCTGTCCACCTTTGGCTGACCCCGTAGGCGGTTCTCAAGTTTGCAAGGACTGGGGCGCAGGCGGTCAATTCAAGGTCTGCGAGATTGCTTGTAATACCGGGCTACGCTTCTCCGAGCAGGTGCCCGAGTTTTACACTTGCGGCGCTGAAGGTTTCTGGCGTCCCACACGCGAACCCTCAATGCCACTCGTCTACCCATCCTGCTCACCGGCGAAGCCGGCCCAGCGCGTTTTCCGCATCAAAATGCTCTTCCCCTCGGATGTGCTCTGCAACAAGGCCGGCCAGGCTGTGCTGCGACAGAAGGTGACCAACTCTGTGAACGCTTTGAACAGGGACTGGAACTTCTGCTCCTACTCCATTGAAGGCACCAGGTAAATATGGAATAACATACCTGTTCAATTGGCTTTATTTAACGCCTTGTGCTTACAGAGAATGCAAGGATATTCAAATCGATGTCAAGTGCGATCACTATCGTGCCGCCCAAAACAATCGTGTGCGCCGACAGGTCAAGGATGGCGGCGTCTATGTGATGGAAGCGGAACTGCCAGTTGTCAAGTAAGTAGTGCAAGGTGTTAACACATCGACCTTATGGCACACAGGACTTCGGTCTAGCATGTTTTGTCTTGATGTATATATATGTGTACTCTGTGTTATATGTATATGTATGTGTTCGTTAACCAAATTTCTAGCGATGAGGACGATTTGGCGCTGACAGGTCGCCAGGGACGCCAACAAACTGGCGGTGACACATACACGCTGGAAATAGCCTTCCCGGCTGTTAAGTATGTCAAGCATCTCATTCGTTCAATATAACGATCAATTGCACCCGATCTCCAGCATTCTTCACCCAGTACTATCAATTGTCTCAGACTAATCCAAACATCCAACCAACCAACCAACCAACCAATCAATCACAATGCAACTCTGTCTAATGCTTCATGCTAACCCATTCACATGTGTTTTGCGTGCTAACCCGACTGTTAATACGTTTTCTCAAGAATTCTTAAACTTTAATCAATACAAGTTAACCTCATATTATTCTCATTCATCCTTAGCGATCCTGTGGTGCATACATCGACGGGCGAACGCTCCAATGTAAAACAATTGCTGGAGAAATTGATTCTAGAGGATGACCAATTTGCGGTGCAAGAGATTCTGCCGAACACCGTTCCCGACCCGGCTTCGCTGGAACTGGGCTCCGAATATGCCTGCCCCGCTGGCCAGGTGGTAATGATACCCGATTGTGTGCCATGCGCCATTGGCACCTTCTACGATAGCGCCAACAAGACGTGCATTCCGTGCGCTCGCGGCAGTTACCAATCCGAGGCGGGCCAGCAGCAGTGCAGCAAGTGTCCGACCATAGCGGGACGTCCTGGTGTGACAGCTGGTCCTGGAGCACGCTCCGCCGCTGACTGCAAGGAACGCTGCCCGGCTGGCAAGTATTTCGATGCGGAGACCGGTCTCTGCCGCTCCTGCGGCCATGGCTTCTATCAGCCCAATGAGGGTGCCTTCACATGCGAGCTGTGCGGTCTGGGTCAGACCACACGCTCCACGGAGGCAACCTCGCGCAAGGAGTGCCGCGATGAATGCAGCTCTGGCCAGCAGCTGGGTGCTGATGGACGATGTGAGCCTTGCCCACGTGGCACCTATCGACTACAGGGTGTGCAACCTTCATGCGCGTCCTGCCCATTGGGTCGAACCACGCCCAAGGTGGGCGCCAGTTCCGTGGAGGAGTGCACACTGCCCGTGTGCTCGCCTGGCACCTATCTTAATGCCACACTCAACATGTGCATCGAATGCCGCAAGGGCTTCTATCAATCCGAGTCGCAGCAGACAACCTGCATTCAGTGTCCGCCCAATCACAGCACCAAGATTACCGGCGCCACCTCTAAGAGTGAGTGCACCAATCCTTGCGAGCACATTGCTGAGGGCAAACCTCATTGCGATGTCAACGCCTATTGTATTATGGTGCCTGAGACGTCGGACTTCAAGTGCGAGTGCAAGCCTGGCTTCAATGGCACTGGCATGGCCTGCACAGATGTTTGCGATGGTTTCTGCGAAAACTCTGGCACCTGTGTCAAGGACCTGAAGGGCACGCCATCGTGCCGCTGTGTGGGCTCCTTTACCGGACCGCATTGCGCTGAGCGTTCAGAGTTCGCATACATAGCAGGTGGCATTGCGGGTGCTGTCATCTTCATCATAATCATTGTCCTGCTCATTTGGATGATTTGTGTGCGCTCCACGAAGCGCAGGGATCCAAAGAAGATGCTGACGCCAGCCATTGACCAAACTGGCTCACAGGTGAACTTCTACTATGGCGCACACACGCCATATGCGGAGTCCATTGCGCCCTCGCATCACAGCACATATGCGCATTACTACGACGACGAGGAGGACGGCTGGGAGATGCCCAACTTTTACAACGAAACCTACATGAAAGACGGTAAGCCTCTAGACTGGAAGATAAATAAATAGTTTAGTATATTAATGAATGATTGAATAAGTCGATTCTTACCTCATTCTCCTGGGATTCCTGTAACTTCTCATTACTGACAAATCGAATGTACATGTCTTGCTATTTGCAGGTCTACATGGTGGCAAGATGAGCACATTGGCCCGGTCCAATGCATCGCTCTATGGAACTAAAGAAGACTTATACGATCGACTGAAACGTCACGCTTACACGGGCAAGAAAGGTGAGTTTTTTGAAGCAAATATTTATGATTTAGGCCAGGCAACTGACTAATATTGGGATCTTACAGAAAAGAGTGACAGTGATAGCGAAGTGCAGTAAACCATCAACGAAATATACAAATAACTTAAATGGAATAAACTTAAAAAGCTGCTTTAATGTAAATTGTGGTCATAAATCTATGTAGCACTGCAAAGAGGCAAAGTTCTAACACTGCCCCCCCAAAAAAAAAATACTCATTGAAAGCGTGTTTGAAAGCTTTGCATTGAATCGCAGTAATCGGCTGGATTCACAGAAACCTTAGAACTCTATTATAACTTTTTAAATCAGCTGCAATTACGTGGCTTAATGCAAAGCTTGGAATGTGAGGAAAAAAGCAGCTTTATGAAAATTGAAGTCTTAAGAAAATAACAACACCATGTGCTCTTTAAATATGAAAACTAAAAACAGAAATTAAGTCGAACTTATGCATATAATACGAGTAAAATAAAAAAAAAGAAATAAAATTGTTTTAATATTAAGTATTATTTACCTATACGCAAACAAATTAATACTTTAAATTACCTTGCTTTAAAAGGTATGTAAAATGAAAGCGTTTAATTGCAATATATATTTTCCAAACTTGTTGAAAAATTCGCGAGTGCTGTAAAAAGCAAATCAAATATAGTCGTTATTTTGTAATTTAATTAAAGAACAATTAATTATTATGTATACACATATGACAAGTAATATGTAATTTAATAAAAATCTTTTGTATAAAAGTACAAAACAATTTAATGAAAATCAAATCATGTATAGATTTTACCTAAGTATAATTCTGGAAGTACTTCACCCATACGGATCTACGTTTGGGATCGTTGCCAGTCGAATTGTATTTCTCGAAAGCCTCCCTGAACCTAATATTCTTGTAGCGATCGGTGTGTCTCAGAAAGCGAACCGTATTGTCCAACCGGAGGTAGACATGTGTCTGGGGCGACATATAGCGACGAGAAAGCATCTTGAAATGGTTGGTAATCCTCGATACCAGGACCAGAATACCCAGAGATATCGGCAATGTGAACGAGCCAATTATGAAAGTCTCATGTCGATAATAGTAATCGAGGCTGACAATATCCATTTCCAGCAACAGCATCTTGGCAATTAAATAAACAAGATGCTCGATCGTCTGCCAGAATATGAGCATGCCCACCTCCAGGAAGAGTATTGCCACAAAGCACTCACAAATATATTTGATGCCACGTGCCCTCTTATACATGCTCAAGGGGACGATGCGGTAATCATAGATCAGATCCAATATAGCCACACCGACAATTATGGTGGGCAGTGTCGGGCCGGGCGTCAGTAACGTGGACTGCGGTGTAATGTATAAGGCAAAGCGAAAGAAGAGATGCACCAGGCCAGCGACAAGAACGGATTCGAGAGACGCCATGGCTACAACCGAGTTTAAAGGTGACTATATGTTGAAGCATTATGTATATAGATTGCATGCTTACCTCAAATTAAAAAAACAATCAATTTGGAGTATTTATTTAAAATGCTTAAAACATAACTTTGTTAAAAACTATGAGAATAACTGAAATGTATGCATGTCCAGCTTGCATATTTCAAAAATGTTAGCCAAGGCCAATGTGATGTTAATTTCATAAAATGAAGCTATTTAACAGAGTTGTGATTGAGAGAGAGAGAGAGAGAGGCAGACAGAATATTCCGTAAGTGCATGTGTACACACTTATGATCAGTAGATGCAGCATTTTGATGCGAATTGACGTGTTTTCTTCTCGGCGCTCCGTATTGACTGTGATTTATATTTAAATTATTGCAAATCTATTAATTAATCCGGAAAAGTGTTTTATCTGCAACTTTTGTGAATTAAGCTCATAAATTTGTGTACATTGCTTGCCATTCAATTGCATGGATAAGCAGTTGTTGGTAAGGCTCCGTTATTTTTTGTTAATCTCTTGTACTTTCGTGTGCGGCTGTAAACTGTAAATACTCTCCTGCTTAGTTTCAGCGTTCTCCTTTATACGCTCTTTTTATACATACATACATACGTTTTGTTCTGTTGCGCGCGAGTTAAACCGTTTCAATATCTACAGTTACATTGGCTCTATAAAAAATAATTTTTATTGCTTTAATTTAATGTCCGTCATTTTATATATTGTGCTCTTCATTATTGTGTTCAGGTTCGTGTGTTTAAATCTCAAAATGAGAAAAAAAATTGGTAAACAAATGTTATTCAAATATATGTATGTATGTATGTATGTATAGGCATGTACCCCTTACCCCCCGCCGAACTTGATAAGATCTAGAGTTGTCAAATAGTGGAAAATATATTCTTAGGCTTTGATAGAGACACCCTCTTGTATGCCCTGCTCAATAATCTCAGTCTTGCAATTCATGAAAATTTTCCGTTTAAATTATTATAAACCGTTTTTATTGAATCAACATAAAAAGCACAACTCTAGCCTGTTCTTGATTTGAATACATCTCTTAAAGTATATCTTATATAGGTTTTGAATTCACTTCCACGTCGACAATGTTCATTCCCAGCCAGCACAATATTTCGCTAGTTTGCGATTCTACGGCGAAACATTTGGTAGTGATCCGTAGCCTGTGCAGCTGCGATTAAAATAGCCAGAGACAGCGGCAGGGTGAAGGCTCCAATGATCAGGTTCTCCTGCTTATAATAGGTTTGCTTTGAGACCACGTCCAGGCCGAGCAGTGTGCCCTTGGCGAACAGGTAAATGGAGTGCTCGATCGACTGCCAGATCAGCATTCCCATCTCCAAGAGGAGCACGGCCATAATCGTTTCGAAAATGTATTTAAAGCCCGGCGACATATCGTTGAAGCGCAGCGGCAGTATACGATTATCGTAGATGACATCCAATAGCGCCAGGAATACGATGGCTGTGGGCATTATGGGACCGGGAGTCCTCAGCTTCGATTGGGGTGTTATATATAGAGCAAACCGAAATATGAGATGCAATAAGCCGGCGAGACAAACGGATTCTATGGCGGCCATTTCTCAGCGCCAGCAATAAAAAATAAAAATTAAAAACGATTTACAATTTTTTACAATTTTTCTAATAATTCCAAACTCTTTTCCTTAACACTGACAATTTGTGCTGTGCACAACTGTAAGCACAACTTGTCTTTAGCCCTTCCATGCCTCCTATACTACACCAAAATTGGTAGATCCTGGCGCCTCTTGTATGCCATAATTGAGCGCTGCAAAAGATCGGACTATAAATACCGAACTTGATCAGTTTGCCAGCATGATTAACTTAGGGTATCTGCTAGTCGTGCACTGATACCTTTTCAGTTCGCTTTAATATTTCCTTCGAGTAGATTGCTCTCCAGTATCATAGAATATTTCCCCAATATACCTGCCAAAATGCAAAGGAAAACATAATGTTTGACTATTAAAATGACGCATGATTATTTATTGATTGTTTGTTTGTTGGTATAAAGTTAGTTACATTTATTGCTTGTTGTTTGTTTTATATCCAGTTCCGAAAACAGTGACTTTTTTGTAGCGCCGCAGGATTTGTGACAGTATAGGCGATTTATTTTATTAATAAAATAAATGTAATTTTGGGAACTCAACTGGAAATTGATTTAGTTGCGTTCGTTGCGCATATGCAAAGCTCTTGAATTTGTGTTTTTTTTGGGAATTTGAAATTGTGTTACGCCTACAATGCCCTAATCCTTACGAAAGTAATAAATCAAACCAACAGCCATGCCACAAAATAGTATGGGATAGCTCAGTTTGCGGATGCCTTTTCCACAGATAATATGCAGCAGCGAGTGCAGGAGGCTCATGTGTTTGCGATTGAGCTCAGCCGCAGCTGAATCTGTGGCGCATCTATCCAGATCCTCCATGTCCTTGCCGGCGTTCAGATCGGGCAAACAAAGCTTCTCGCCGGGCTGGACCAGAGCGTTATTTAATTCGCCATGGGCCAGCTGTTCCCCATCGTCCACCTGGAGCAGTTTGTGCAGCAATTCAATGTCGTGCTCCGCCTCAAGCAGTTGCTCCACTCGCACATGCTTGCGCTCACGGACACCAGCTCTGGCATGGATGGATGGTGTCTGCTGCTCGGGCTGCAGCTCCAGCTGCTGGGCAGGCTTTTGATCTGGCTGCTGCTGCTGTTGCTGCTGCTGCTGCTGCTGCTGCTGCTGTTTCTGCTCCTCGACTGTTTCTGACAACAGCGTTTTCATAAACTCCTGTTGGACGTCCTCCTCTAATTGCAGTTTCTGCTGGTTCTCCAGCTCAAGCTTCATCTGTTGCTCAAGTAGCTCAGCGTGTAGTGCCACATCCGCCTCCATTTCGGCGACTGCACGCTGCAGCACGCGTAGAGTCTGCTGTTCGGCCTCCTCCAATTCCTGGAGACTTCCACTGATCGCAACCGTATCGGTGCTGCGCTGCTGACGAGGCGTGGAGCTGCTCGGCTGACACGGAATCTCCGAATATGCATTCATTTCATCGGTCTCTACGGTTGAGCAGTCCATTTGGATGCCGGAATCTTCGGCTGTGTTCACCAGTGTGCTGGTGCTGCTGAAGCTGTCATCGTGTTCGCCCTTGGTCTGCAGCGATTTCATCAGGCTGGTGTACTTGCGAGTACTGGTGTGGATGTAGCTACCGGTGTTGTCTAGGCGTACGGGTCCCGGAATTTTGGTTGGCTGCGGCACGGTCCCATTCTTGGTAGTACGGGCTTCAAATTTATTGACTGATTCGGTCTGTGTTTCGGCTTCGGCTGTATCCTCTTCTATATTGTCATCCGATGGAGTGGCTTGCACATCGCAACTGGCCATAATTACTATCTGATGGTGCGATTCTCATGTCTTATGTCGGCTACTCAATGTTGGTTAACTTACCCTGAACTATTTGTTGCAAGACTGACAGAATTTCAGACTGTTTAGGTAGCAAGACTATTTTTATTGTTATTTTTTCGAAAATTACGGTTGATAAAATGTTTTAAATCTAGGCCTGCACTGCTCCTATGTTCAATACAAGGAATTCAAATCAATAGAACCAAGGTGTTATCCATTTAACAACTGCAATTGCGTTGTCGACTTCTCTTCAGTGTTGCACAGTGTCAAGGCCATTCATTTGTCTTCTGGCCAACACTGTTCACGGCTTGAACTAATGCCACATCTATGCTTAAGCCTTGTCTTCGCCCAAATCGAACCACAACTTTAACAGAACTTGCGAGAAACCGCTATGCACAATTAACATGCATCACATTCTCACATACATACATATGTATGTAACTAGCAATAAAGAATTATCGCCAATATATTTCCTACTGGGGTTAAACCACGTCAAAATAAAGCAACAGCCCAAATTCGTGCAAACGCCATAAGTAGTTTTCGTATTTGCATGTGCATTTGTGTGATTGCTTAAAAAAAAAACGGCACACAGAAGTGAGAACAATTCTTGTTGCTGCTCACAAAATTTCGGGAGAGCGCAATGCATATATAGATAATTCACAAGCACGCACATACACATACATTTGTACAATTTTGGCAATTCGCTCTGCATGCTGTCTATTTATGCATGTGTGTGATTGCTTGTACGTTATCTAGCTTTGCGCTCAGCCGAATTTTCGGCTTGCTTGCTCAATTTGCTCTTCGTTGGGTTTTCGTCCAATTTGGCTGCGCACAAAAATTTGTCTGCTTTAGTTTAACGCCAGCAGCCGAGTGAAGTTGTTTAAAATTATTATTAGTGAAAATAATCGGGTAAATGCCGTCCATATTTGTAAAGGTGTATATTGTCGGACGCGTGCGGATCGCGCGTATCAATTGACATTGAAACGGAATTTAATAAACTAATATGAAGCCGCTCGAAGCTTACCAAAAAATATCAATTTTTCATTTCGTAAAATGAATTGCGATAGTGCGATGCATGAGAAGATAATGCACTAGCAGACATATACACATACATACATACATATGTACAACGTATTCGGCGATTATCTCTGCATACATAGATATGTTTGGATGTGTGTTTTCTTGAGTGAGATCTTCTTATGCCCTGTTATTGCCTATGCGGTTTCTCGCTTTGAATCGCGCTCACATGCACTGTTTTTCGTTTCAGTGAAGAATTTCTCTTATCTGCTCTTGAGCTCCTTCATTTGAATAACACTCAATTTTATGGTTTACATGCTCATTGTGTCCACTCTGTGTACGCGTAACATAAATCTGTTTTAGTTAGCAGTCGTGTAAAGCTGTTAAAAATATTGTGAGTGAAAATTATTGTGTAAATACCGTCCGCATCTCTAATGTAATACGTCTTCGGACTTGTACGGATCGGGGGTATCAAATGTTAATATATAATTAACGAAATTGCAAAAGATTGAGTTTAATGGAAATGATAACATAAAACTAGTTATCAAATCCAAAACAGTTCTGTAAATTTCAAGTAAAAGAATTTTAACTAGTATATCTTTCAGAAGTTGTACGTAATTTAAGCGCTATAAATCCATCTCTCTCTGTAACTCTCAATTTTGTGTGTTTTCAGCCCATGGATCAAAATAATAATCAGTAGCCTTGGTACGTAGATGGCCTCTAGATCCAAAGATAAACAGTTAACAAAATTTCCCTGTAGATATTGAACAAAACTGGAAGTGACAATTGGCAATTTTTAACGGCTTTCATGAATTCCAAATAATGTCTTGCCAAAATCGAAGGTAATATAACGAATATATTTTAGTTTACAAAAACTAATTCTTTATTTTGTACTTTTCAGCCGAACCTGCCACGACCAGGGACAACAAAATATTCAGTATCGTTGGGATCGATATATTCTAGGATCGGCTCTAAAATCGAACAATTTGTCTTATCTTTCCAAAATCGGATGTTCTTCGTAATTGTTATTTAAACTACGCCCACGGACAATCAAGAAGTTAATGCTGTCATTGGTACCTAGATGACCTATATATCCTTGGTTATTCAATACCAAGGATATAGTCCTAGCGAACCTAAAGGCATGCGTTTTCCAAAAATATGTGTTTTTTACAGCCTTCCTGGATGGTTCCTAGTTGACTATCATATCCTTGGTGATACCATGCCATCGATATAGTCCTTGGCAACCTAAAGGATCAGATCCCTGCAAAATTTGCATTGAAATGGTCCAAAAATATGTATGCTTTTTGTTTCAGGAGCCCCTGTAAATGAGCTGCAGCTGCAGCTGCTAGTTAACATACGCCTTACAGCACTCATTTAACATTACCTGTAGCTTAACATCACTCATTTAAATGAGTTACATTTTTGCCCTTGCGCGTATGCAACGAAAATTTTTATTCAAAAATTTTTGTCGACCTTCTGAGCATTTCTGTTCGCCTGGTACTTCAGCAGAATTTTAGTGCAAATTTGGGACCCGGCCGCAGATTAGGGCCGCCCTTTTGGGTATGCAACATATTTGTAAAGACCGTTAATTTTTGAATCCCATATCCCTTGGGCAGTAGAAAAACAGGTTTTTTGTTTAAAAATAGTATTTAATTATTTATTTTTGTTAAATTTAACAGATTTGTTGCTTTTTACGTGTATTTTCGATTGTAACTTAAAATAAATATATATGGCTTAATATATGTCCGATCCTGGAAGGAATAGCCTCGTTAGATTCGTAATTGTCCTTTGAATCGATGCGAATCCTTGAGTCCTTCAATCTAAAAAGATAAAAGCGCATTTATATGAAAAATGTCATAAGGGAGATGTAAGGGTATTTTTAGGAAAAATAGCCATAACTCGGCCATATCCTTGCAGATTTTCAAAGGACATGGTGCGTTAGGATCGTGGGGACCAACTGCATCGAACTGCATCAAAACATTATGGGGTCATCTAAGAATCCTGGACTTGGTAATTTTTCAGTCGCGGGCCGCAAGGAAATTTGGGTGAAATCACCAAATTACAGTAAAATCGCGATATCTCTGAAACTATAAGGACGATCGTAATGTAATTTGGCCAGATTGTAGTCCTGGTCAATACAATTTTTTTGACACAGGACTCGTCAGGATACGCCAGGATATGGCCGAGTTATAAGCTATTTTCGGTTTACAATTTTGTCCTTAAAACTTTTTTGTCCGAAGGACTTTCGTCCTTTGGATTGTATATTCGTAAATGGGATGATGAGGACTATCTACTGTCCAAAGGACATCGCGATAGTCCTTCAAATGGCAAAGTTAGTCTCGAATTTTTCGATTTTTGGCAATTTTCTGACTAAACCCCTGTGAAAATTTTTCGTGAAATTTTTTGTCGAATTCTGGAAATCCTTGAATGCCAATCGATAGTCCTGCTCCCCACGACTTCAGAAAGGTATATCCTTCGGGTATCCTCAAGGATATGACCAAGATATGGCCATAAAAAGAATGTCCTTTTTAGAAAATTAGCCATATCTCTGAAACCACAAGGACGATTCGGATGTCCTTTTGCCAGTTTGTAGTCCTTGTCTATACAATTTGTTTGACACGGGACTTAACAGGATCTGCAAGGATAACGCTGTGATAGGGCCATTTTAATGTACAAAACAAATGCCCTCATATCTTGGCTGTTTAAAGGACCTTCCTCATTTTCATTACATTTTCTGAATGAGCAAGACAAGGACAGTCTGATAGCCAAAGGACATGCTGAAAGTCCCTGAAATTTCAAAGATATATCCACTTTTGTAATAGTATCCTTTGTAGATAAATAGCCATAACTCGGCCATATCCTGTCGGATTTTTAAAGGACATGGTGCGTTAGGATCGTAAGGACTAACTGCATAATACTGCATCAAAATAGCAGGGGGTCATCTAAGAATCCTGGACTTGTAAAATTTTCGTCACAGGTGCAAGGAATCAAAAAATGCTTCATATCTGGGGAACTGTAAGAGTGCTATTGATGTCCTTAGGTCAGTTTATAGTCCTGGACAATGAGAGTTGTTTGCTACAGGACTCGTCAGGTTTATCCAGGAGAGCAAAGCTGGAGAGTATGCATAGTCCTATACTATGATTTTGGGATGGGATTCTGAGTGCTCGTTTCTTGCATATATAAAGCAGTGTCCTTTTGATGTAAAATCCCTTACTAAAAATAGCGGGTAATGTTATTGCGTGATATAAACAAAGACGTGTTCAAGCAGACAACTAAGTTGGGGCTTAGTTGCTATGCTTGAGAGTTGAGAAGGTTGTTACCTTCTGCTGCTTTGAAAGCTGGGACAGAAACCAGATATAAATACCGCGGCTGGGCTCTGCTTAGTTCTCCAGTTCCACTTTAAGCTTGAGATGTGTGGGCAGTTCGTTGTAGATGAGGGGCGGTACGCGTGCTATGCGAGAAAATGTTGATTAGCTTGTGTGAGGACAAGGCAAGTGCCAAAGGGCCTCTACTCACTGTTGCATTTGTAAACCAGATCCGACCATATAATCATTTCTTGGGAAAAACAAAAAACGCCCAGCCGTCCGCCCTTGAGGGTGAGTGTGGCATCGTAAACATTGTGCGAGTCCAATATCAAACGTTCGCCCTCATATATGCTAGAGAGAAATAAGATGCATTAGCTAAAACAAAAAGACTGTATTTTGGCTAAATTACCGCAGTCTGATCAGCCCGATGGAAGGTCGATGCACTAGGGACCAGCGATATGAGGTCTTCTCCTTCCAGCCGGCATTCAGTGGATCCTTCCAGAGCAGCCTTGCCTGGCCAGGCGTGTCGCCGGCATGCCACAAGCTGTTACGCAACATGGAGCCGGGACCTGTGTTGCTGTCAATTAGCTTTATCTGGACGCCCGGCTCGGCCGAGGCGCGGAAGGGCGACGAGTGCCAATAGGTCTGGGTGCCCTTCTTCCACTGCACCACATAGAATTTGCGATTGCTCTGGTAGCTAAAGATGAAGCCCACATAGTCATCGTCCGTATCATCGTTGACATAGAAAGTGCCCTCAAAATCGACACCTCCAAACGAATCGCTACCAACCACCAGGCCCGGATCGGAATTGAGAGTTTGTATAATCTCCGAACCATTTGCATGCACCTCCCAGTTGGGATCCAGCTGAGCATCGCCCTCAGGATCTAAGATAACCGAACGTATAGTGCGGAAATCGGTGCGTTGTATCATGGAATTGTTTGGACAGTTATCGATAATGTTGGGCGTGCCGTCCTCGTCCTCGTCGTCCTCGCAGACATCGCCCTTGCCATTGTGATTAATGTCTAACTGTTGCGGATTCTTGGCCAGTGGACAGTTGTCTCTGTAGTTGGGCACGCCATCGCCATCCATGTCATCGTCACAGGCATCGCCCTTGCCATCCTCATCCGTGTCCAGTTGATCTGAGTTGCTGACCATGGGGCAATTATCCTCTGAGTCCTGTATGCCGTCATCATCGCCATCAATGTCGCTGTCGCAGGCATCGCCCACTAGATCCATGTCCCGATCTTCCTGCGTGGGATTTGGTATGGTTGGACAATTGTCGCACAAATCGCCCACGCCATCGTTGTCCACATCGGATTGATTCGGATTGCGCAGCGCAGGACAATTGTCATACTGATTAAGCACTGAATCGTTGTCCATATCCTCGTCGCACTCATTGCCCAGGCCATCCTCGTCGGTGTCCAGCTGCCGGCGATTCGAAATAAAGACACAATTGTCACAGGCATCGCCCACGCCATCATGATCCGAGTCCAGCTGATCGCTATTGAAGGCAAACGGACAGTTGTCCTTGCCGTTTAAAACCTGGTCGCTGTCGGCATCATCGTCGCAGCCATCGCCCATGCCATCCAGATCGGCATCCTCCTGACCAGAATTCGGCAAGTCTGGACAGTTGTCGCGACGGCAATGCGCCTCAGCACAGTTCAGCGACTCATCCGGCCAGCCATCCAGGTCGCGATCCCTGCCACAGACACGCCCATTGCCCGCCCAGCCGACGCTGCAGCGGCATTGGTAATGATAATTATCCGTGGGCACGCATTCCGCATTTCTGGCGCAGATGCTGCCATCGGGACATAGATCGGCCGCAGATAGACAGCTGAAGGTGCCATTGGCCACATAGCCATCCTGACACTGACATCTGTAGGAGCCCTGGAAGATTTTTTTTAGAGATTATTCTGGAATCTGGAATCTCCTAAGGGCTTACTTACAATGCTATTATGACAGACAGCATGTTCCGGACATCTAAAGAAGCCCATTTTGCACTCGTCTATATCCAAGCAGGTTTGCTTTTGAAAGCCCACTGCCAAGTAGTCCGCCGAATAGCCTGCAAGGATTGGTTACATTACATATAATTATAGTTAAAATATATCAGAAAAAGAGACACACGGTAATATTTACCATGTGCATGGATGCCATCGAAGCCGGGCGGGCAGGGTCCACAGCGAAAGCCGGGATTAAGATTGCTGCAAATGGCCCGTTCATCGCAGGGCTGATAGATCGCACACTCGTCCACGTCGTGGCAGGTGGTGCCATTGATTTTGTGGCCACGTGGACAGGAGATGCACTGGAAGTAGGGCGGGAAGCCAAGCTGAATGCACTCGACACCTGTCAAAATAAATGTTAATTCAAATAATTATTCAATATCTCGAGTATTCTGTTTAGTGTGACTAAAGTGAGGTTAAATTAGGAGAAAGCAAGGTTATGTTTGCTGTTAGTAAAAGGACAGGCTCTTGACAGGATCACGATTAGTTAGTTAGGATTAAAAGTGTGCATTATGTGAGCGCGTTTAAAATCATAATGTGGCCCTAATCCAATATATTCGGCAAAGTGAGGTTATGTGCTAAATTTGAGGTTATGCAAACAAATCAAATCCTTAAACATAAACTAATCCTATAAAGCATGACCAGAAAATGATAGTGAATAAACATGAAGCGCAATGGAATTCAATAATAAGATAAGATAGTCGAATGAAAGATGAATTTGATAGGCAGATAGCTGAGATAAATGACGAATTGAATTTTATTTACCAAAAATGTATCCAAAACGCAGACGCACTGTGCTAATTGAAGCTTTTAAAAACGTATGTTTTTTGTTGTTTGGTTTTGTTCAAATAAAACAAATTTAATTTGATGTTTTTGAAAAATATACTGTATAATTTTATTCACATCTCATTTCAGGCATTACAGAGAGGGGAAAACAAATTTCGTAACACGCTTATAAACTCCACTTTCTGGTTGATTTCTTTTTCCAAGTATTATTAGAGTATTTACTATTTGTTTTTTTTTTTTTTTAAGTTGATTTAATTTAATTGTATTTGTTATGATTTTTTGTAAGTACTTTTGTGATTTATTGTTTAGGGGGGGGCGAAACGTTGCTAATACTTTGAATTATTTCGATTGCCATTCATAGAGCTTACAACTTATGACTATTTATAAGTGATTAATTATGTGCTCTCTGTCGCTCTCGCACTCGCTCTCTGTCTCTAAATTACTCGAATTTATAATTAAATTCTAGTCTGATCTGATTCAGTTCGTTACAACCGAGTATTTGCGTGCTGTGTACTGGCTCTGCCTCTGATAGTGCTGCACATTATGTGTGGGCATTAGAATGTTGCCTAATAATGAGAATTGTTTATGCATTAATATCGTATAATAAAATATCAGTTATTTGTGTCATACAGTCAGCTAAGCAAATCCACCCCCACTTCAAACAGATACTTTGTACTTTTGCCGAATTCAATTAGCCAACTTGACGTATAAGGCACGACATTCCGACAAGCCTTTAAACACAAAAAAATATGATTCAAGTTCCTGGCCTCCAACCGACAAAAGTCGGCAACTGCGTCTGCGCTCTAATTAGCAATGCTTGTTTCACACATTCACTGAAAATTGCTCCTGGTAACCTATAATTTTCAGGGGATTTCAATCAAAAGGGTTCAGCGCTGCGCTCTTTGCGTTCTATAACAATTTTTTTTCGAGCTGCGCATTAATAAATCAAACAGTCGTGTGAACTGTGCACGCTACAGGCCAGTTGGTCGGGCGTATCAATTTATTGACAAAGAAAAGTTGGCTAAATTAAAAAAAATATGTGCTCAAGACTTTTCTACCAAGCTGAATAAATAATAAACTCTTTACAAGCATATTTCAATCCTAGAGCAGTTCAAAATAGCAGGACTACCCCTATTAGTTTTATAAATTTCGGATTATTTTACTATTTTTATATGGTACGCATTTGTTAAATTTAACAAATTTAATGAAAAACGTTCCATAATAAACAAAAATATTTCTGCTCAGTCTCAATGCCCAGCTCCAAATTGTAGGGCTACCTCTATTATTTTTATGTATATTTAAATAAATTAATAGAATTTTTCAATATTCCAATTCAACTCTGTAACTTGTAAGATTTGAAATTTCTTTAGATATATACTTAATATTTTTGAGGGAAGGAATTTGTATTTAAAACAGAAACACGCTTTGACCTGATCTCTTTGAAAACCTAACATGCCCAAAGAGTTCAATCTGATTCCTGCTGTTCAACTTTTATTTAAATGTTGCAAATTAAAGAAGCTGCTTTAAGAATGCTGTTGACTCATCCCCAGCCAAGTTTCTAAGCTAGCTGCCCAACCCACACGGCTGGCTTTGGCCCAGGGCACGACAAACTCAAATTAGCCATAAAAGAGCTGAAAACAAAACGTGGCCCCAAATCTCCACTCGAGACTTAAACTAATCAAAGAGTCAAACAGACCGCAAAGAGGAAAACACAATCCAATACATAAACACACATATTTGTTGTTGTTGTTGTTGTTATGTTTATTGACTTACCTGAGGGGCATGGTGTGTCCAGGCAAGGATTACGTAGCGAACATGTGCGTCCATCACCTTCATAGCCAGCCGGACAGGAGTCACACTGGGCACCGTTCACCGTATCGTGACACTGAACGCCTCTGCAAGTATGGAGTATAGATAGTTAAATGTTGATGGGCTGTGCTTTTGTTTGGGGCCACATATTGTTTATTATTATTAATACTGACAGCCAGGAACAAATATACAACAAAAGATTGTAGAAAACCAAAAACACCATACAAAGTCAAATTTATTAATGATGTGCGCTTCTCGCCTGGTCACGAGGGGTATACAACACAAAAGGCCGAGCAGGGAGAGACGACAGACAGACAAAAAAGGTTACCAAATGGGACCCTCCTTGGACCCTACTCTTGGGCACAAAAGCACCGACATGTGTGTGTCTTGTGCGAGACTCGGGACTCGAAGGTGTTCAGGCTTTCGGGTTTTGGGAGGAAGTTGTGAGACGAAAAGAAAACAAATTACAATTACATGAAAATGTTATTAAAAACCGTTGAGGCAAAATAAATAAAAGCAGGCACTGTTGCCTGTGCACTGTGTATGCATGTTGTCTGTTGCCTCGTAGGATGATGTCCAAGTCCAAATGGCCCATGGCCAAAAAAGACAACAACAGCAAAAAAAGACAAAAAGTGCAGTTACAAGCTGGATGGCATGTAAATTTCTCTTTATGTTTGGGCGAGCAGTGTGGGATTCGGCTTCCATATAATATTTACATATCATGACACGGACATTAGTTATTATCCAGGTTACGCTTCGGCTCGGCTCAGCTCAGCTCCAACAGCTGCGTAACGCCGCTGCCCAGTTTCAAACTCTCCCAGGACATAACTCATTGCAATCGCTGTACGCGCATTTCCCAGGAAGTCCATCACACGGCCAGACAACCAACTACTGTGCCCAACTGACCCACAAGCCATCCGTTGCCATATTTTATGGCTAAAATCTACACAGCGGTCAGTTGGCAAAACAAAAGAAGAAAAAGACGTACTCCGCAATCATGTGGGCAGAGTCAATAGCTCAAGAGAGCTGAAGACAAAGCCAAAGCCCTGCCTAGACAAATTCTGTTTGAAATGTAACGCAGTAGGTAGGAAATCATTTAAAAACAGCTAAGCGTACTCTGGTCGGCAGTGACCGACGTGCAGATACCCTAAACTCAGCCAGAAGCTAGCCTAACTAACAATTCAAGCTTCCTACTACATAGCACATATGTGAAAAATTTATTCTTGGCTAACTTCGGCGTTTAAAGTCCGATCATTATAAGATATTCAGTTCTCAAACAATGGCATAGAAAGATATGCATTTATGCAAGTCGAAGGCTCTGCCTTTAAAAATTAGTTTAAGCACTTTTGTGGGAAAAGATATATACTAAAAATATGTGTAAATTGTTTATACTATGCAAGACTCTATACATCACGTTTGATGCATATCTAACTCGTATAATTTTCGAGGCTTAAAATACCATGCGTTTGTTATAGAAGTGTTCAGATTTATTTTCCCGAGACATGTTCACACAGTCGGATATCCAGACATCGATCTGATCAAGAATATATATAAACTTCGGAAATGCTTCCTCCTTGCTTGCCCAATACCATTTTTTTTTTTCAGATAATGTTTTGAATTGCGCTATTTAAAAATGCTTTTGCTGTTACAAAGTCTAAGCAAGAATTGCTTTTTGTAATTAACCAGTAGAGCAGCCCACAACCTATGAAAATGACAAGCCTTCAAGCACAGGTTACGCCCTATATATGGTCGATAACTATAAGGAATTCCGGCTTGTCATAGCCCACGTCAAATGCTGTATGCCCCGAGCTGTGGCTTGAATTGAGGCGCAAAAAGTATTCGAGTGTTGTTTTTTTTAATGTGGCTAAGAGTTTGCGCTGTCAGTTTTGCTGGATTCATCAGTCGCAGCTGCTGGTGGGCAACAACACTTGTCGGGCTTGTGTGTGTGTGTGTGTGTGTGTGTGTGTGTGTGTGCGATCGTCAATATTTTGGTAGAAGCATTTGGCGGCGCACAACGCACAATTAGCAAAAAGTGTTAAGTACTTAAGTGGCAAGAGGGGGTTCAAGCCATGTTCGCGTCCATGCCAAAGATATTGGGATTAACACCAAGTAGAAAAATGTTGCGTAGGGGTTTTCGCTTTCTGGCGTTGTTCGCAGGCGTCCGGCACTTTGCGCTTTTCAGCTTTGTTTCAGTTCAGTCGACCATATATTGTCTTGGATACCACCGCGAGAGTCGTCCATCGGCGTCGTTTGAGTGCTGGGAAAATAGCCAGTCAAGCGCATCGGGGAACGCATTAGCATTTCTGCCACTGACCGCCCTCCCCCCCCTGTTGCAAAGGCAGCCGCTAACACAATCCACCGTCTACCGTCCACCATCTACACACACACAGTTAGCATGACGAACCCACTTGCCGTTTGCCTTCTTGTTGTTGCTCGTTCTTTTTATTAACCACGCATTCATAATTCATAATTCCAATTTGCTGCCTGGACCCTACCTGGACTCAGCCAAAAGGCTGCCTGCTAGTTGTCCGGCTGCTGTTGCCTTCTGCCTCTGTCTCTTCCTCTTCATCTGCTGCTGCTGGTGCTGGTGCTGCCTCTGCTCAAGTCCAGTTCAAACACTTGCCAGGCACCACCCAAAAAGACACAAAACCTTTAGACATGGACGTGAACCCCGAACAGCGAACTCTGAGTAATGTGTGAACATGGATTTGAAGCAGGCAAAAAGCTCTTAGGCTCTGGTCGCAGCACGAAATGAGCTACAAAATGCCTGACACGCAGCTAAACTAAGGGCCCCAATAAAGCGAGGCATAGGCGTTAGGCTACTGCAAATATTATTTTAAAAAACTATAAACAAATGAGAAATTTGTAAACATAAAATAATATTTTCAGTAGGTAATTACAGAAAATAAAGCTAATTTTATTAATGGCAGCAAGACATCGCATTTTCTGGCTGCGGTTTGAACCAACTTTCTGGCTCAAAACAAATATTTTTACTTGAATTGAATAATAGTTACATGTTTATCAGCTATAAAAAAGGATAAAAACAGAATCAAATATTCTGAAAAGGTTTATTATAGAAAAAATCCTTAATTAATTAATTAAGTGGAAATTCTGTGTATCAATTATTATTATAAATAACTGACCATACAATTAGGAAAAATGATATGAAAAAATATAATTGTCAGAAATGGCTAATAGATATTTGGGAAAACTACAATCGGAATACGGAAGAATCATCAGGCCAACTTATAATTTATTCAGTGATAAATCTGCACACGTTTAGTTAACACTTTACAATCTTATTTCACAGCTCATACGAATCTGTTTCGTCTACCATTTTTCATGTGCTGATAACCAATTGAAAAGCGCAATGAAACCATTTCTTAGCCAAATTGCTTTGCCATGATGCATATAGGTCGCGCAAAGTTTGCAAAACTTATCTATTATTGGAAAAGCTGAGATCGCTGGGCAGCCAGCTTTTATCCCACCCAAATTGCTTCTAATGGTAGCGCATGCCATGCAAATGCATACCACTTACTCCCAACAACAGGCAACACTTGGCTCTCCCTTAAAGGAGTTGCAGCAGTTGTGAGATGCATCCACAGCAACGGGAACAACAACAACAACAACCAGCATGTGGCGCACGCTTTGGACAAACTACAACTAACTGCCATAAAGCGGCGTTTATTTTGCCACAGGCCACTTATCTGTGAGGTTGGCAGTAGGTTGGCTGCCGGCTCCAGCTTCAGCTTCAGCTTTAGCCGCGACTCGATCTCTGGTGCTGGCTCTCGAGTTGGTCTTGACTTGGCTTGTTTTTGTTTTCATTGCGGCGGACGGGCAACGAACCAAGCGAGCAGCCACAGCCAGAGCCAGAGCCAGAGCCAGTTGGCTATTAATTTGAATTCAAGCAGTCAAACGCTGCCTCAGTCCACGGCGACACAGTCAACAGCAACAGCAACAACAACAGCAACAACAACAACAACGACAACGTCAACTTGGAATCAATGGCTCCACTTTTGCGGCACGGCTGTTGCTTTTTTGGTGCGTAGGCGAACTCGATTCGCGGCTGAGATATGCGTTCCACCGAACTTTGATGTTGCTGTGAACGCAGCTCCATCTCACCTCTTCCTCTCTCACTCTCCATTTCTCTCTTGCTTACTCAATATTGCTTACTCTGTCGCACTGCTTTTAGCAGGCTGTGTAAACGTTTTGTTTTGACCCGGCCCCAAAGAATCTGTGGGAAAGTTGTTGCCATAATCAAATGGAATTCTGTTTTGGAATTGTTCACAACACATGTTGCAGCTGAAATCGGATTTGGAATCGGAATCGAAATCGGAATCTCTATCTAAATCTCAATCTGCAGCTAAGCTGGGTAACATAATCTCTCTTGACTGCAGCCTGATTGCATTGCTGATTATTTCATCATACGCATAATTTAAATTGAACAACAGCCACAGAAAATTGTGCGTTGAAAGGCAGTGAAACTTTTGTGTCTGCAGGCTAAACTATGATTGGGTTTTCAAATTAGGCTCTGCTCAATAAGTTTTCGTAGATCAGCTAATTCTGAATGCACTGAGTAAATACCAAGTTTTCGAACACAGTAAAGACGACAAACATAAATTGAAATGAAAGGAACTAGCCTTCTTATGATATTAATTAAATATTAATATAAATTACCATCCGCCAAACAGTATACATTATACTCATTTAAACCCTTATTCATGCCCTTATTAACGCTTTATTTCCTCACAAAAAACTTGCACTAGACCAAAGAACGTTAGAAGAAACCCTTAATGGAACGATCGAACAGGAAGTGGGTTCTAATTTCTCATTGCGCATACCTTAATTCCCCTCGTGCCGCGATATTCCCTCCCATAAGCCGCCAGTATTAGGCAGATATTTTAAGAGTGCTTTACATATCGAGTTATCAAATGCAATATATAATTATTGTTTGGAATTAAGTTATAATATCACAAATAACTAAGTACTCGCTGTTTGAGTTTAATGCTTATGGAATCTTTAATGCATTGCCCAACAAATTAACAATGTAGAACAGCCCCAAAGATGAACAAGAATAAAAAGTTCATTAACAATTTGAATACAATGGGGCAAGAACTTATATAACGCCGTGATAGCAGCGGACAACAAAGGATCAACAGGTGTGCATGTCATTAGCGCAAGTTTTATGGCTTTTTAATAGAATTGATTTGAACATACGAAACTCTGATCAAGAGTCAGGCAAACAAAGCGCTGGCCATGTTTAACTCTGACGCCGGTACGAGAAACCTTTTGTGGGTTCTAAACTCAAATCATGGTCAAGAGTTGTGGCCGTGTTTACCACACACATTGGCCACATTTCATCGATAATGAAAGATGACAGTAACGAGTCGGCGGCGTTGCCCGACAATGCTGACAACATTTAAAACAATTTTATGCAAATTAAAATACGGTCAACCGAGGGCGCACCTTCCAAAGGGAGAGCGATCCCTTGTGGCCTAGACACCTACAACAATACAGCAGAGATTGTGGCCCGTCCGGGCCCGTTTCCAATAATTTAAACAAATTTATGGTCTTCAGCTGCTTCCTAGGCGCGCGTGGCCAGGCGCTCACTTGTCGGTTGTTGCTACAGTTAGGGGTCTCACATTTCAAGTCGAGCCCAGAGACCGAAATCACTTTAAGTGTTTTGACACAATGAAGTCAGTCAGTTCTCAGTTGTCGGTTCTCCCTTCTCTGTCTCAATGGGTTGCGTATATATCTGTGCGGGTTGCCTGCACAACATTTAACTAATTTATGCGGCAGTTTCAAGTGCCATTTGTGGTCCAGACCTCACAGCTTACCATCTTCTACTTTATACCCTTTGTATTATTGCAAAGGTTTTGTTGCATTTTGTTTAGGAATTTCTACAAAATATTCCCCGTTCCGTTCCGTTATGGCATGTTATGCGTTTTGTTTAACATATTTATGACATGTCTATTCCTAAATTCGAACTTCTAGAATTTATGTTTTTATTAGTCCAATATTCACTGACATTGCTGTGGGTCTTATGCATAATTAGTTGCTCGAGTCTGACATAAATGGGCCCAGCTACAAAGCCAAGCCAGAACTTGATCTCCTTTCACCCGTGGCTCTTTCTTCCGGTACACAAACAAAACTCCATATGGGCTGTGGGTGGTTTAACGACTAGGTTCCGCCAAATGCAATATGTGTAGGCTACTTTTGAGCGGCGCTGGGCTAGTGCCAGCTGCGCTCTTAAGTACCTATGATATCAGCAGGTGACTTACGTTAAGTGCATTTGTTCTATTTGAAACCAATCGCACTTCTAACTAGCTTTAGCTTTTGTTTTTTTTTTCTATATTAATTATATCTGTCTGTAATGTTCATTAGAAGAAACTATGTTAGGCAAGGCTTATAACAATTAGAATTTTCCCTTGATATAAACTCTGGGGTTCAACTCAATGTTGAAAAATTGCCCATTATTTGTTGATTTGCATATCTTCATCTCTTTTTCTCTCTTCCTCTCGCCAAGTTCTTCTTTTCTCATTTTTACTCAACTATCTCTCGCGGTTTATCCACCTCTTTGCCTCACTTTACAGTGTCCTTCTAAGTCATCTTCCCTGTCTTTCTCGCCGTCACTCGGCCTTATCCTTTCTTATAAATCAGTTCATTCTTGTTTTGGCTTCTCAGCAAATGGATTAGCAAATAGATTAATAGACTTAGATAACGTTTGTGAATCAGATCCCAACAAAAAATAGTTTAAGAACATATATAATTACCTAATTCTGAAGAAGAGTCAACTAGATGTTGTGACTTAAAATAATCCAGGTAATAATAGTAACAATTATTGTTTGCAGAGTTCTTCATTTTATAAAGATCATGAATAACAAACTTGGCTAGGCTAAGCTCTTGCATGTCACTATTAAAGCTGATTTTTAAAAAGCTGCAAAGCCGATTTATTTTTAAGGCAATAAACTTAAATGGCTAAGTGCTAAGTGGAGTAGCCAGATTTTATCTTAAGCCGACAAGGGATTAGGCATTTTGCACATTTGGATTGGCATATCGAGACTCCGAGATCTAAGCACTTGTCACAAGGATAACCGAATGAATGGAAGCCGAACATAACTAATGGCCTTAGGACTATAATAAAAAAAGGAGAATCTACTTTGGCCAATGGCAATCTCCATGCTCTTTTTCGTTCACTAATCAGCATGCTGATGCTTCTTCAATCGACATGGCTTGCAGAATTGAAATCTCAATGAGCAACACTTATCAATCATAGATAGAAAAGGCTTCAGCTGTCTAAAGTGGCAAAGAAGAGTCGCTTGACTGCATCATTAAGCCATAAACAACATCAAATTGCCATTAAGGCCATATGCAAATAATTGCAGACTCAGTGAGAGAAACCCTTGGCGAATGCTCTGAGCGACATTTTGCGTGAGGCTGCGGCGCCTTTCATGCGTCGGGCGTCCAACTGCATCAAGGCAACAGCATGACAAATACAATTAACATGGATGCACTGGCCACGCCCCTGACGCCATTAACGTTGTAAATATACATATATATATATATATAAGAAAAACATAAAAGCTACAATAAAAAAAAAATAAGCTTGAAGTTAATTTGTTCGCACTAGGCACTTACAGAAAACAGGGCCTGTCCGCGCAGCTGACGCCCGGCTTGCAGACTTTGCCATCGCCAATGAAGCCAGCAGGACAACGGCCGCACCTGGGTCCCGAGGCGGTCTCGTGGCAATCAACGCCTGTGGGCAGCAAGATGAAGAGAATTGAGATGAATTTTGTTTGAGCTGGGTTCGGCTGTGAGCTGGGTGTGTTCGCAATGAATATGAGTCACGGGTCACTTACCAGGATAACAAGGATTCGCAGTGCGGCAATTGGGCTCGAGGCGTATATGATTGTCGCCGCTGGGCTCCTTGCAGCCCGCACAGTTCTCCAAGAGCATGCGCAAGTAGGCAATCTCCTGACGCTGGTGGGCGACATCTTCGCGCAGCAGCTTAACCAATGCCAGAAGATCGCTCAGCGATCGTGCGAGGGCGTCTGCAACAATGAGCACAAAACGCGCAGAAAACCATATAAAATAAAACTTTAAATAAAGCAACAATAATTCATGAGCCGCTGCGTACTCGCACCGGCGTGTCTGTGCAGTGTGTGGGAAGCGTTCGGGCATCTGACAAGATTAAGGCCTAACCAATGCTAAAATCGCACTCATTTTGAGCGCACTCTGCCACCACACAAATACACACACATACAATTGCCCAGTGAAACATGTGTGTGTTTCTGCCCGGCTTCCCTGATTGCAACCTAATCCGCTTTGTCGCTTGGACGGGTCTAAGCCCGAACCCAGCGACTGGGCCTCAATATCCAGCTGCTAATGCGGCGCGTTTTAGCGCAGTTTAATGCAATGCGACAACAGAGCTGAGCACCCAATTCGAGCTAAGCGCATTCAGAGATGCTTTCATACACATGGAATCACAGTCACAGTATAGAGTCATAGGCGCAACCTCTTCCCAGTCACGTTCCTTGTTATCACGGAGTTAATTTAAGTTCACTTTTTATAGCAACCGTCCCGCCTGAACTACTCTGCAAATAACAATAAACATATTTATAAAAAAATGCCTTTCTATGTGATTCTCACTAATTTGAATGCATATGAATTTCTTCGCGTGTGACGCGATTGTGCAAATTTATTAAGTTAAGTTTTACAATCCCGTAGTCACTTTTGATTTTAAACGCGCTTCCTCGAAATGATCATCAAATATTGCGACTTGAGCATGACAGTAACTCGAAAACACAGTGACAGGCTGCTCACAATAAGATCTGCACTGTTATGTGTCAAACTTCTATCTTATCCTCTTGGGAAAGCAGCCCAATAAACTTCCAGCTCATCTCTAAATCTCATATGTTGTATGACGCCATGTTAGACACATGGCAACAACTAAACTAGTCCAATGTTCCATCGGTTCCAACTGTCTGTATATGGTTTCGTCCGTCCGATTGTCTGTCTGTCTCGGTGCTTGAGTGAGTTTTGTCAACATTGAAAACGCCACCACCGCCTCAACGCCCAAACGCATCCGTTCGGGCCATGAATGCTGGGGTTGGGTTCGGGGCTCGCTCGCTCGATCTGTGATCTTGTTTTGGTTGAGTTTGGGTTTTGGTGTGCAACCTTCGTTTCTATAAGCCACGTCGGCGTCATTCATTACGTTTGCCTTTGCGATTTATATGCCGCCCAGTTGCCTGCCGCGTGTCTTTCCCTGTCTCTGTGTGGGTACAGAGCGTGCTACCAATTTGGCGTTTTGCGCTGAGCTAGATAAATAATAATTATGCTGGATCGACATCGACCAAACAGCACTCAGCACTAGTTTTGCACGGGCTTTGGATCGGCTTTGGCATATCTTTGGGTTCATTAGTGTTGTCTTTTCTGTGGGCGCTGCTTCTCGCTGGCTTTTCGCTGGCACTTAGCGGCGACTTATTGCCAGTTCCGAATGTGGGTACTTACATAAATAAGACTTATGCACGTATATATCTACCGTAATTAATTGGCTGCAGATTTGTAAGGCATTATCACATTAAGACAGTTATTGCACTGGGTATGCAAGAAACTGTGTTCTCAACCAACAGCAAGGGCAAATACTGAATAATATTAATGAGCTTAACTGAATTGAGTTTATGAATATGTTCACACTGGGGAATTAAGCCTTGAAGCAAGCCTAGTTCCTCAATTTACAAAAGGTCTAATGTCAATTTGAGTTTGTAGAAAAGTTGAAATAATTTTTTTTTGTCTTTTCCTATTATAATCCCATTGACTTGATCATGTAATATATGCTGCATCTATAATATATATCACATCAAACACAGACCAAATTATCTGCATTTCTATGCGATTCTCATGAATTTAATTAAGCCTAATTTCATACATTGATAAACAAAACTTCATTGACAATGTGAATTACTTGATGTCCTTTGCTCTTACTCTACTTTATTTGTATTTAACATATTATTTATATATTTTATTTTCTTTTTTTTACATATAGCAACATATTTTAAAGAATTTAGAACGAAGCACAAGTTACTTCCTAGTATTTCATATTGTTTTAATAATATGCATAAAACCCTAACATTGACTTCTTCAACAGTTATTTATTTATCGTAATTCCACCTTACAGAAGTTCTGTCTGACAAACTAGAAGCGTTTTCCATTGCAGCATAATTGAATTATTTACCTTGACTGACATGAACGCCAACTGTTTTAGGCTAATAATTTCATCAGGCACCACATCTATGCAAATATTATTTAAAGGCTACGCCCTATAGAACCCACCGGTCCACCCAAAAATGTCGTAGAATACCCACTGAAACCTTGTCAGAACGCGAACCACGCCCCAAACGAGAAATGTCGTCGACTGTTTTACGATAAGTATGATTGATAGAAAGATGGCGAGCTGTTACCTACCTTCACAATCGCCATGCATGATGGGTATATCACCACGCTCCACATCCGTAGGTATTTCCTGCTGACGCTGATCGACGCCGTCCCGTGCCAGAGTTGGCTCATGGTACCAATTGCTGCGCACATCGCGTTTCTTGTTCTTCTCTGTAAGATTGGCAAAACAGAGAAAAGTGGGCTGTATAGAACATCCTACTGGGCACAGACGGTCTGACCGATAACTTACCACGCTCGGAGATCTTGTTCCGCAGCATGCGCCGATTGCCCCGGCGATGGAGACCCTTTTGACAGTTGGCACGCTGCAGCGAGTGTTCCATGTCTGCATCAAAGTGTAGTGGATATTTGCGTTCCCTGAACTGTAGAAAAATTAAGAAAAAATTAGTCCACCCATCGATACTGTGACGGATTGACTCGGCACTTACCAGCTTAATCACTGGATCATCCATTTGGGTATACAGCTTGGACAGGCTCATGTCAATGTCGTGGAAAGTGCTCGGCTTGCAGTCCACATGGAGTGTAATGCGATTCTTCGAGAACTGCAGGGCCAACGATCGTATGGTGCTCGTCTCATTTATGTTGGGTATCTCAAAGTTGCGTGACTCTGTCGCTCCATTGGCGCTTATGTCCAGAGTAACGCGCTGCTGCTTGCGGTCCAGGAAGAAGGACATCTTATGCTTCAGCATGGGAAAGTCGATCATGAACAGCGCCTCAATGGATATATGCAGTTTGCGTCGCGGTCTGTAAAACATGGAAATGTCGTTTAGATGCGCCACAACCGGCTTGAGCATGTGCTCATCACTTCAAGGTTTGTTTATTTACCTTATGTGACGCGTGGAAATTACCACATCGCCTTTCCTGATAAACTGTTCCAGCTCAGCAGAAGCAACTGTGGATGAAACATAAAATGAGTACAGTTTAAGTAATATTTGATTTTTTTCCCGAGGTCAAGTGTATATCATATATGTAGGTCTTGTACCTCAAAATCCTTACGAAATGGAATTCGTCTTCCAACCATATTCATTTTATAATTGATTGTTTATTTGGGCAATCTCTAGAAATCTCTTCAGAATTTTAGTTTCTTTATAATACTTAGCTATATTTTGTCTATAGACTTTCGTTTTTGGTATATTCATTTTTATCTATTATTAATCTTTTCCGGATCAATTCTCACACTTTGTAAATATGAGTTTGTGGCACTGCTAGCCTAGATAAACTTCCGTTTCGCTAGTGATAGCACAACGCATATCGATTACAAGATCAACACAATATAACATACAAGCCCCAGAAGACTAAATCAAACAATGCCTCTGACCATGTTGGCTAATCCTCGGCACAAATGTTGCGGCACTTGCTCGGTTTGGTCGGCAGCTGACACAACGGCAATCGGTTTTCGCGCCTGGCAGAGATTACAACACTTGGCGGTGTTTATTTTGGTCATAATAATCCCGTTCGCATGTTAAACCAAAATGAAAAGCAAAAAACTAAAGTGAAAAGTGGAAAGCGCTTCGTGTCTTTGCACAATCCAAATATGTAAAGCCGTCAAATGGAATTTATCAAGAGACTTCAGACCCGGCACAGACGTAGAATTTCACGCATTTGTGCAGCGATTTGTCATGTGTGGGAGCATATGGAGAGCAGAGCTCTGACAGAGCCCAGGCGAGGTGACCTTCACGATATCGTGCCACACTCGACGCTCCACAAGGCGATCGGAATTGCAATTGCAACGTGGTCAGCTCGTGATCGGGCAACGCCAACGCCATTTATGGTGCACTGAGGTCGACTGCATGTGTGCAACTGCAACAACAACAACAACAACAACGACAACAACGACAACTGCAACAACTGACAGCGTTTTTGATGACCGCTTGGGCATTTGATTTTTTTGTTTTCTCGATTTACATAAATCGCTGTTTGTGAGTTGGATTTTTGGGCGATGTCCGAACAGTTCGGCAAATATTTGCCTGCCTTTATCGCGCATGTTTGCCCATAAATACAACGGTAAACATACTGAACCAACTCGGGCAGCGAGCGTCACCTCGGCACCTACCTGGATCCAGTGAGAGTGATGCAACCTCCACAAGTGCCAGCGTCAAGACGGCCACCAGGCCGATTAGCAACACGCGCGTCCAATTCATCGTCCGATGATGTCGTCTTCCACTTCACTCTGGACTGATTTGTGTGTTCGTCCGCTGCAGGAAAAGAAGAAGAAGCAGAAAGCGTAGAACTCAGTCGGTGGTTGTTTATTTGCGTTTAAAAATAAAAGGCCCCATAAAATGCATTGCGGCTGCCCCATTAAAGCGCATAAAAATAATAAATAAAATTCAAATTAAAATTCAAATTGTTTTAATGTGTAGGAAAAAGAGTCGAATTTTTTTTCATTTGATAAAATGTTTGCGGCATTTTTAAGATTCTCAGCAGGCATTTATCGTTAAAAATGTCCACGCCCCGCTCTGATTTCGTGCCGGAAGTGTTGCTCCGGTATCACCTAGGCACACACATGTGTGTATCTATATATCTTTTTATATATATATATATATATCTTTCATCTGTGCGGCCATCTGTGGGCGTAATAATAAAGCATTTGCTGCTTTAGTTTTTACATTTCTTTTTATCTCCTAGCCTCTTCTATTGGTTTTGAGTTGGCCGAGATTTATGTTGGATTTTTGCAATCATTCTTTCGTCGGCTCGTGTTAGCTAAATAAATGTTTAGTTGATGTGTTTTTGGCATTTTGTTTCTTCTATTCTAATTCTCGCGTGTGTGTGCTTTTTCAGGTGTGTGCCCAGCGGAAGCTGGGTAAAAAAAACTTTATGAACAAGGTGGGGATTTGTTTTGTGGCACTTTTAGACTTTAGAAGCAGATTTGAATTCGAATCTTATGTGGGTTCTCTCATTTTCTCTTTTAATATTCATGAAATATACCAGATTAATACTTTAAGCAGCTGCTACATTAAAACATAAAAATACACAGGCTGGCAATTCGAAAGGTTTTGGTATGAGTTTAAATATATACACATAATTATATTGTTTTCAATCAATAACTTTTTATGCTCACCAATATATTGGATAGAGTATGTATTTATACAATTAATTTTTTGCAGCCGTATGAATTATTTCAATATGAAAGTTGATAGTTTTCGAAACCTTTGAAAATTTATAATCAATTTGCCATCATGGTTAATGTCTCTAAGCGGACCTCAGCATTTGCTCAATATCTTCCAGACTAGCCATGTATTAGTTAATCCGTTTGCGTAGCCAGCAAATCTCAATTACAAGCCATAAATCCGGCTACTAACATGCCAACTGTTTATCTTATTGCTCTATTACCACATTCCCAGCACTTTCTCCACACTCTTCTGCTTCTGCGCTTCATAAATTAGCCCCATGCCGACATGTGCTACCGTCAATTGAAGTAATTTGTTATCGAGCGCTGAAATCTTCAAGTGATCAAAGACTCGAGTGGCACAACTCTATAACTCCTGGGAGCAACAATTTTCCTCACTAATAAATTGCCGAAAAGCACACATAAAATTTAACGATCAACGAAAGAGTTTAAAAAAAATATATATATATTTTGTGTAAATAAGTACGCATTAATTGGCATTAAACTAGCGGCAATCGCAGCAAGAAATAATGTTCTAGCTGGGAGTGCACGACTGGGAGATACCCAAATATTCCAGTTTACTTCTAGTCATACCTAGTCAAAAATAGGCATATTAAAGCTGTGCATGGGAAATGCATTCTTCATTATTTTCGCTGCTTAGAGTCCGATATTTATGAAAGTTTTAGCACTTAAATAAGACATAAAATAGTGCGTAATACTCTTAAATAAAATATTTAAAATGTATATGTAAAAACTTCATAGTAAGGACCATATCTCAAAATCGATATATATCAATATTATGAATGTTAGAAAATGCATATATTTGAAACTCAAGTTTCTAGCATTTGAGCCATATCGAGATCAACGTGGACAGACAGATGGACATTGCTTGGATAATCTCTGCTCATCGTTTTGGTTAAATAGATATATACTTTATGAGATCGAATGCATTATATCCTTGCCCTCTCTTCTAATGGCTTCAGGGTATTATAAGAATCTGGATTATCAGGCAGTTAAAAACATTTAAAACTGTGATAAACTGCAGCCTGTATAACATATTGAAATGGAATAGATAAAAATCGTAATCTTCTTTCTGCAGACAATATTCATACTTAAACACACATTGGAAATGTGAGCAAGTTGTTGGGTAAGCGATCTAGACAGCATCTTGGCTCGCTTAACTTGGCTCAAAGGTGTCCCAGGAATGTGGTAACGGTCGAGTCAACAGAAAATGTCGTTATGGCCTTACAAGAGAAGCGCTTCTGCCAATACGGGTCCAAAAACGTGTGAGTGACAGTTATGGATTTATAGTGGCAGTTAGACTGTTGCGCTGTGACTCCGCTGCCGATCTCTGGGCTCTATGTTCTCTCTCTCTCTCTCTCTCTCTCTCTCTCTCTCTCTCTCTCTCTCTCTCTCTTCGCTCACTCTTCTCTAGCGGTTCTGGCCAGTTTTCGACACGCTCGCTACAATGTCACTGAGTCAGAGCCCCAGAGAGGCGCGAAACATGTGCCATTTATGGTCGAAATCGCAATTGCCAGAGTTACAACAGACTTTACGGGCTGAGGTGTAGTAAAAGTAGCTGCCTTCCGCCAGCCACTTTAACTGAGAGCTTTTTAAAGTAGTTTAAGGTTTTTATGTGTCATTTGACAGGGTTTATTGAGACTTGCGATTATGTACGTACTCAGCTGGAGCTTGTAACGATAATAAAATAAATTAACAAAAAAGATGATTGGAATGAAGATTCTGTCATTGAAGTCAAAATGTAGGGCAAGTTTGGCAAAGGCATTAAATATGAGATTTATGCTGTGGCTTACACAAAGATTACACGCGAAATATGCCTTATTAAGAAGCGTTTCTTAAAATTCTAAAAAGAAATAAATCTTGCCGTTTAAAGCATATATAGTCATAAATCTAGTTTTTAATAGTCCTTTTTTGCTTAGGATTATTGGATTTAAATTGGGTATTATTTGCTTAAAATATTCCTCAATCTAACTGGAGAATATTGGCAGCGTGTATTGAAGCCAAATTTGAAGTTAGCCAAAGAAAAGGGGAAAGGTCAATGAAATCTAAGCCACGAGTATTTGTGATAGATCACCATAAATATATATATATAAAATAAATATGTTAGTTTACAAAACATTTAGCTCAGACCTCTAAGCCAATTCGTTGCGTAAAATATCAAGATAAATTATCTTTACCAATCAGAAAATAAGCTCTTTAGCATTTCGGAAGATTAAGCATCTCACTCGACCCAAAGAATTTCCTTAGTATTAAGGCTTGATGACAGGATTAGATCTGCCGCTCACTGCCGAGTTTTGACGGGTTCCCTAGAACTCAGGTCTTGCGCACGGCGTAAAGCTCTTCAGGTGTTCATTGAAACGTATAAATAGACAGTTGAGGCTGCTACCGACTGTTTGACCGCATCCGCAAAGAACATTTCCCACCAAATGTCTAACCAATTAATCCCCCGCCCTGACAATCTTCGGGCAACGGCAGTCAAATCAAAAAAGCGACACCAACTCGAAACGAGCAGTAAACTCATAATCCTCAGTCCAAAATTTATTAAATACTTTTTAATGCCTTCGCATAGATCTAGGTGCTCCGAACATAGATCTCTGTCCAGCGCCCACGCAGTCCAAAAAGTCTTCAATAAATGACAGCGCGTCGCCAGAGAGACGCCGCCGCATCAGGTTAATAAAGCGCACAAATCAAAAACAATCATGCTGCGGTTTTCCATATACATATACATATAGAGAGATATATATACGTATATACATTGATTGACATTTCATTAAGCAGAGTCAAATGCACACGGAAGCCGCAAATGACGACCGCAGCTCAAAACTGTCACCCACCAGGGCCCGGGTTAAATCTTTCGTCTTTAAATCGTTCGAACAAGTTTGTCGGCATCATGACAAAAGGCGTACCCTGTTTATCATCAGTGGAAATTTGATGCTTATCGGAAAAGATATTCTATCAGACTATATATTAACTGGCAGACACCCCAAGCGAGCCCGAACTGGACATACAATAGAGGGCTGTTGCCAAAGTTACGTAACATAAATACGCGTGTTCTTCAGATAAATTATATATTTGAAAATATTGATATTCTCTCAGAAAACATTGTATACTGATCTCTCATATGTAGGAATTTTTATAAGACATTTACTTTCTACTGAATTTCATCTCAAAATATAGCAAACTTATATGTGAAATGTATTTTAATAATTTTCGAAATATTTGTATTTCAATAATAAATAATTCTAATATATTCTGTCTTTTCCTAAAACTTTTCAAGTTGTTAACATGCTACAAACAGAATTTAAAGACACGAATAATAATTGAGTATGCGCCCTTAACAAGTTGGGTGATATCTATGGAAGTTCCAAAACCAGGAGAGAAAACTAATAGAGAAAACTGAGAAAAGCTATGAGCTATAATTCCCAAACAGTTACTGAATAAACTCTCCTATCCAATTCTAGTTCTCTAGAGGAACGTATTACCCATAAAACTTTCAGCTAATTTATTTGAAAACTAGAAAAACTTGAACTTTTTTATATCAATATAAATTTATAAACCGTTTTCTGGGCGCAACAAACTACACAAACATGTGCATGAGTCATCTGCATTAAATAAAAATTGGAAGTGCCCTCGTATAGCATTAGAAATTCAAATATTTTGACTGTTGCATCGCTCGCTAGCATGCAACATCATGTACCCTGTCCCCCAGGGCGATGAAAACAGCGCGCGCGCTCGCAAAAAAAAAATGAACAAAAAGGAAAACAACAAAAATAAAGCGTTCGCTGGCTACTGCGCATGCGCCGCTGCTTCTGCAACTTTGGCGCTGTCGCGTGTGGGTAGGACAAGTTTCGCGGCGGCGTCGTCGTCGCCCCGGGCGTCGTGTCACTGAAATCAAATCAGCCGCGTTTAAATGCTCAGCCGAAAACTCAAACTCAAACTCAAACTCAGCTGCGGCTGCGGCTGCGGCTCCCAACTTCAACTTCAACTTCAACGCCAGCACCAGCCTCCAAGTCCAACTCCAACTCCAGTTCGAAGCACTGGCAAACCTGCTGTCAGTTGCTGGCTTGACACGGAAAGAAACGACGTCGGCGCCTACGCATCTGTGGACCCGGCCCCACAGAGACCCAACTAAGACGCTTAGGGAAATTCTTCAACGGATTTTCATTTGCTGCAAAAAAAATAACTTTCTTTGGCTTTTGTCTAATATACCATTTTTTTTTTTTCAGGCCTCGTTCGCTTTAATTGAAAAAAAAAAAAATAAGCCAAACTGAACTCATTTTAAGTCGCCTTCGCCTGATAAATTGGTTTCATTATGGCACGCGCATAATAGATTTTTGTATAACTTCCGCCGCGAATCGACTGGCATTCATATATATATATATATATATACTTTATATAAAAGTGACAAAGATCCCGACGAGCTCAATAGCACTTGACTTCGACATTGCTGTGCTTATGTATTTTTGTTTCTACTGTCGATCTATTTGAAATTCGGCTTTTCATGAAAAATGCAGTAGTTGACAGCTGAAAAGTTGAACATTCGGATATTACACAAACGAATTTTACGCTCTTTTTTTTTTTAAGTCTCATTTCATAATATTGAAAGGTCTGTCAATTATATACTAGATATGAGTGCGGTGCTGATTTTTGGTATGGTAATTGCCGCTTGCCAAGCGGCTCAATCAAACAACCAACAAAAATCTCTGCTTGTCAGTGGAAATGAGGCGGAAGGTGTCAAATTATTTGAATTTGATTTTTTCAACTATTAACAAAGGTAAAAAAATGCTTCGCTCTAAATTTGTAATACAAAATTGTTGTAGATGAAATATTACAAATAAAAGAAAACTTTTTAAAACTGACAGCCAAAGACTTCTTCAGATTGGAAGGAATGTTAACTCTTTTTCTATACACTTCATTTAAACCTGTTTAATACAATAGATCAATGCTTCTGTGAGTTCGCAAGTAGGAAAAATATTAACTATTATATTTGCGTTTGACCAAGATATCTTTAATAATAGAAAAGAGCCTCCAATATAGTTAAATTTGCAACATATCCTTCCCATGATTCCCATATTAAGAAGTGTTAAATGTTGACCGAGATCCACGGATTGTAAAAAGACAGTTTCTCAAGCTCGACCAGTAGCATCCTCTTCAGCATGCTTTGATCTGAGGGTAACAAAAATAAGGGTTCAGAAATTATACCAAATATCTTTCTTCCAAAGTCAAAACATGCCTTTCGATCAAGAGATTTAGGGTAAATTACTATTAAATATATAACAAACGAGAAAGTAAGGATATCTTTGACAGAAGGAAGATGTAATACATCTCGGACTCGGACTCGATGACATAGGAAATATATGCTTTTTAAGTCGAATAATGTCTGCTCCACGTTACACATTTTATGTCAAAGCTATTATACTATCTACAAGGGTATAAAAATAGGGCCTACATCTAAGGAATTTAACAAATTTTAACTTGCCATTCAATTTTTGTTCAATAAAAACTCAACAATCACATATCATTCTAAAGTCTATAGCAGCAATAAACAAAAGCCAAACAAATTATTATGCCATAAAAAACAATAGAAAATGTCACAAATATGGCGCTGCTATATAATCACGTGTTTATCTCAGCTACCTATGCCACACCCAGTAAGTTTTCGAAGCTGTTTATCGATTTGCATTTCTGCGCAAAATATATAAAAAATAAAAAATTACAATTCAGTTAACACCAAACCGCAAAATATGTATGCCTATGGGCTTAAAGTCCCATCAACTGGTTACAAATGATATTTTAAGCATCTGAATTGGCGCCATAATTCCTAAATTCAAATATACAATATATGGCTAAGGCGATGTGTTTTGAAAACCTGTCAAAACTGTTTAGAATATGTTAAAACTGTAATTAAGCCAAAAAAAAAGAAAGAAAACCTATTAACTTATTTTGATGAACCATTAAAAAAAAGTTTCGTTTCAGACAAACTTGAATCACATTTGACGCCATCGCTGGCTGCTCTAGGCAAAAGTTTGGGGGTTTTTTAATGTGCTGTGAGTTGAGATTTGAATTGCAAATTTGATTTGGTGCCGAAATGCAGTCAATACAAAGCATTAAAAATTTGTAAACCTAATTCGGACTAAGGCCTGAATCAGCCAACAACAAATAATGCGATGAATTTTTCCTCAGATGATGCGCTAATTTGTTGCCACAATTTTCCAGTTGATTTGCATTTGTTTATAAACTCATAACTTGAACAAATGCTGGCTAGCGGAAATTTCATTAAAAGCAAATATAATTTATGTTTTAATAATGCCACAGTTACCAGGCCATATATGGCCCGCTGCTGTTTAATACAGCGCCAACCACAATGTGTAATATATTCAAAATAATCAAATAACCAGCTAACCAAAGACTGAGACATCGTCGAGGCAGTTATAAATTGTTATGGTAATGTTTTCAGTGGGCGTTTTATAATTGAATTGGCTGAACCAGCGACGGCAGCACACGGTCACAAATGTTGAAACCAAATAAATATATTATCTATATACATTATAAACAGACTGACTAACTCGAACTAATCATTTCTGAAACTCATTTAAAAACCTGCTCGTTATAAAATAAGAAATAAGTGTTTCAGCGAGCTTCAAATGTGCAGCCAATGTGCGAAAAATTGGCGAAAAACTGTTAATTGCTAACATTGAATATTTTAAACGTGATTGAACAAAAATCCAGTCCACGGGGTACAAAGTGGTAGAGGATGTTTTAAATCTTAGAGGAGCGCAAAATGGTTGGCACTTCAAATTTCTACATAAACAAAATCGTCAATTTGTCCTGACACCAAACGCATGCCAAATGTCGCCTTACTATGCGATTCTCATGAATTTAAATCAGGCCTACAGGACTTTTTGAGTGAATTATACGTGTTGAATTATCAAAAACTATATCTGTTTAGCCTAATTTTGCTCTTCTTTATTATATATATATTCTAATTTTACTGCAAGCCGCTCGCTACATTATTTTTTTTATATAAACACGTGGTATCTCCTAGCGCGTTAGATAAGGCTTGAAACATGGTCGATTATGGTCAGCTTATGTCCAGAGTGGAAAAAAATTGCCACCAAAATAGGAAATGCCAAACAAATTGTGAACGTTTTAACATATTTTAACATAGCTGACAATTATATTATTTATTTCTTTTGGACTTTAATTTGTTCTCAGCTAGGCTGAAAACATTTTAATAATGCTGAAATATACGACTCATAAACTTCAACCTGCTTTTAATATGTGTGGAAAGTCTGGTAATTAATAGATTATGACTAGACTCTGGTATTTATGGCGCCAATGCAGATAAGTCTGGAAATCTCTAGATTAATGTGCAAACATTGTGGCCGGCAGCCTATAGCCAAAATGGGTGTGTCTAATTAATATGTATCGATAGTATTTGAATTACAACAACAATTAGCATGATTTATTAAGAGATATGAAGGCGGTGAAATGGAGTTTTATTGTGCCGCATAAATATATGCATAAAGTGGTCAATTAATTTGGCTAAAATTGCAGGAATCCGTGAGCCTAACAAAATATGAATTATTAAACTAGAAAAGGCATAATAATATTCAATTAAAGAGCCAGAGAGAAATGGTATGTGTGCGTTTTTATATAATATTTATATAAAGTATACGTTGCGTTGGACAAAGGAAATATATAAATTTGTTGGTGAAATTGAAATTTAGGGCACAGATCAGTTAATTGACAAAATTCAACTACTCTATCTTCAAGAAAAACTTTTTAGAATTATTTTAGAACAATTTTATGTAATTCAATTAAATTTTGCCTACATTTTACATTCCCTAATGACAGGGGCATGGCTTGTGCTGACAGCAGGAATGCCCCATTTAACCCACTTAGCAGCGCTTTTATAGCCTTCACACTCACCTCTATGTCAAGGACGTTGCACGCCAACGTTGTTGCCGCTGTTTGCGATTGGCCACTTGGGCTCTCAACAGAGCTCTGTGGCAGCTTCTTGGTCGTACTTATTTCAGACAGCTGCTTGAGCTTCTGCCACTTGCGGCTGTCAACGCGGTATTTGGTATAACAACAACTTAAGTTAGTTTTATGGATGTTGCCACACTTTCCCAACTTCTTTTATGTACTTTTTGGATTATTTAATTTAATTTATAATTTTTTTTGTTTTTTTTTTGTATTTATGCACTGTTGCAAGATCAAACAAATCGCATTGAAGACTCCTTACACTATATGAAACGATAATAAAACGGATGCATTAAACTTTAAAACCCTTTTCAAGAGACGACAAACATAAACAAGAAGGCACACACGCACACAAACACACGCGAAAGAAAAGATCTTCCCGATTGATTTTATTAGAACGGAACGACACACGCGACGGCGACGGCGACGACGATGGACGACGACGACGTTGGCGATGGCGATGGCGATGGACGATCCTCCAGCGATGGCAACGGCTGAAAAACTGAACGGGGATCTGTGGCTGCTGCTGTCGTGTAGGCAGGCCGTCCGGTGTTCGTGCTAATAAAAATTAAAACACTTTTAAGCTATTAACAACAAGAACGCGAACCGAAGGCGAAATGGAAATGATGCTCAATGGGGCTGGCAACGCCGCGGCGTCTGTCAAAATGCGACGCTGTGACAATTAAACAGGCGTTCGCCTCTGTTCTTATTTGTGTAATAATTATTTCAATAACAACAACAAACGAGCCACACTAAAAGCCATCATAGATCACGATCACGATCTCAATCACAGGAAAACGCACGCGTCTTTATTGATGCTCGCGCGCCAGTTTACCGTTTACAGCTTACCTCAGCTACATGTACCGTCGTGTTCAACGTGCAAACGCACACTGAAGGGTAACAGTCGCGACAGCGACATCAAAAGCACCAGCACCAGAAGCAGCGGCAGCGGCAGCGGCAGCGCTGTAAGCAGCGTGAGCAGCAACAGTTGTTGCAGTCGTCGTTGCTGCCTGATTGCAGTTTGTTTTGTTCTCAGCTGCTGCTGCTGTTGTTGTTGTTGTTGTTGTCGTTGCTGCTGCTGCTGCTGCTGCTGGCTGCTGCGGTGTTGCTGGCTGATGATGTTGCTTTTGTTGTTAACTTGTTGCCGTTTGTGTTGTGGTGTAGTTGTTGTTGTTGGGAGAAACGCGTTCAGCAGAGCAGCCGCAGTCGATAGCATTTTGTCTTCGTTTGTGTTTTTCTTTTGACGCGTGAGTAAGCTAAGACGCCCACGTGCAGATTTGCGTAAAGCGAGACTAGCGTTGCCAGATTGTTGATAACTTGTTTTGAGCGGTTCAACGTATGTATGCATGTGTGTGTGTGTGTGTGTGTGTTAGTAAATGCAAATAAATCGAACATTATGAGTTTGTTGATCGATAGCTAATTTGTGTAACACAACTGTGATTCAAATGCAAACAGTTATGTTACAAGCAAACAAATACTTACGCTTTCTTTTACTAGATATGCATGCTGATCTGGCCACGACCTGTAAATTGCTAAGTGCAGTATTTAATGGTATTTTCAATGCTAATATGTTGCTGTTCACATAATCCACGATTTACTCTGCTATTAAACACCAAGTTAGACCAATAAAGTTTACTCTTATTTTGAAAACGAAACCCTGGGCCCCAACAACAATGTTGCCCTTGCTCGTAAACCACATTTACACTGAACGCACGCTCTGAACCCTTTTTATGCGTTCAGCCTTGCCACATTCCACACATATCCCGGCCAGAGCACGAAATTTTAAAGGCTGGGCACTTTCAAAATGCCCAGAAATGGAGCTCATAAAACTGGCACGAACTCTGCAATCATTAAAAACAACAACCAAAACACTCGTTAAAACTAGCCCCCCTCCCACCCAAAAACTAAAATGTGATATGTGCATGTGGCACCTATTAATGGCTACTTATGCCGTACAAGTGTTGTTGTTCCGCTCCCCTCAACTTCCTGACGCCCCCAAAACAAAGTGACAACCAAACTGATGCGTAACACGTCAGTAGCCAGATCTTCAGATCTTTCGATGTGCGACCAGTTCATCATTATGTCGCCAGCATGTCAGGCCCTCGCCTGGCCTGGTCATAATGCATATATCATGGCGCTATATAGCGCACACCCAGTTCCAGTCGGCGGATTCCCAGCGTCGTCGTCGGCATCATCATCATCATCATCATCAACAACATCATCATCATCATCCACATCGTCGTCGCTGCATATTTTGCCTGGTTGTTTGCTGCATTTTTGGACACGCCGACCACTTGCTGAAATTTCATTATGTGCGTGATTTATAAATAAGCGGATCGTTCGGGTCGGATGCCGTTGTTGTTGTTGTTGTTGTTGTGGTTGTTGTTGTTCCCAGCATCATCATCAGCGGGAACGACCCACGCACTTTGGCGGCGCTACAACGCAGCTTGCATGTTGACTACCCTGTTTGTTGTTGTTGTTGCAGTTCATTTCGTATTAATCATAAAATTGTATTATTAACATGTTTATTTTTCGATCTTCAAGTTTCGATTACAAGCATTCCATCGTTTATTGTTTGTGTGCGAGTGTGTGGAGTGTGTACCTTGTGAACGTGACTTTGTTGTGCAGTGTAACGAAAGTGAGCCACTTTCTAACACTGCCCAGTCACTTATTGAGCCACTCTCAAACAGTTAAAAATGTCGCAGAGGATCGCGCGTGGGCCTCCGTCCAACAAGAAGCCGAGTGCGTTATGACAGTTGTAAATATTTCGATCATCGAATGAATGAAAAGAGAAGGTCTCGACTTGTTGGAGGGAAGCGCAACAACTATGTTTAGACAAATTATAATTGCAAAAATTGATTGTTGAAATAAAAGACAAAGCAGGTATTATTACTATGGCATAAACCGCATCTACATAAGTTTGATACAGATCAGTCAAAAGATAAACAAAACCCTATTAAAAAAATTTATTTTTTAGAATTATTGATAATATTAAAAGTCTGTGACATTGTTAAGAATGTAAAGAATAAACTAATATCAATGAATAAAAACATGTAATTATAATATTTTTAATTTACGGTATATTAAACGGAACAAGCCAAGTTTCGAACCTTAGCCTGGTTCCACAGATGTTGCAAACCAGGTTCACAAACCGAAACATTCTTTCAGTTGGAGAGCCTCTCAAAAACAATCGCCTAAAGCGTAGGAGCTGCGGTTTTTGAATATCAGCCCTATTATATTCATTTTTTACTTACAACTCCCCAAAACACTTGCCCGGCCAACGAATACAAAACTAGTTAAAGGTCAAACTCGAGAGCTGCCCTGAAACGGAACAAGTTTTCTATACATCGCATATCTATGTCTAATAAATATTTAAACACACACGACTATATAATTAACGTCATCGCGGGCTATAAAGCAAATGATTAACACCGTCTTTATAGAAATAAAAAAATGGGATCCAATGCAAATAAAGAGAGGGGCCTATGGTTATGACTAGGGTGTAGCCAGATCTGGGGTCATTAATTACACATGTTGTCAATTGTTGTTGTTCGTTATTTTCTATAATTTTACATATGATATTCTGTTTTATGAATAAATTAATTTAAATTAAGCAATAAGCCAACTAACTAGAGTATCTAATATTACGCGCTGTTACGTCTTAAGCGTATTGTATGATAGCTTTTTTTTTTTTTTTCAAACATTTAACGGCCTAGACCAAAGTATATTTTTGATCTGCTCGGGCATATTTGTTGTGATTAACATTTAAATGTGTAACTTAAATGCAAAGAAAAAAAAAAACTCGCAAGCAAATTAAATAAGCCTTTTGTTCCGAGCCGCTTCAAGAAAAATAAAACGGTAGCAACTCTTAATTAAGTCGTTTCCGCTGTCGATGCGAGTTGTCATTGAATCTATTTGGCAGATACCCTGTACTTTATGTCTTCTCCACACTAGCCACTTCAATCGAGTCGCCACAACTGAAAGTACACACACACACACACACATACACACACATTTGATTATTTAGTCTTCGACTCTGCGCAATGTTTTTGATGAATTCACATAGAATGATATATGATTGTTTTAAGTGGCTGCGAGGTGTCAGTTGAGCTTAGCGAAGTTTTGGGTGGGGTTAATGTGGCTAACCAAGGTCAGCTAATAAAACAGATACCCGATTAAATGGATGCCATAAAGATTAGGATTTAATGAAGACTAGTTCAGCTTACTCAATAAATTAGTTTATCTATTAACTTCAGGTATGCATTTTCCACTCTCTAGACTTTACAATATTGTTAAAATGCTAAAGGGTTAATATTGTCAAGCTGATCGTTAAGAGCAGTTTATCTTAGTTTGATTGGAAAATTTAAGCCCAAATTAGTATTAGAGTTAAAGCCCTTTAAAGATTTTAATGACAATTTTTTTTAAATTTAATTTAAATAATTAGGATATCTAAAATCACAAATGCTTTAACGAATCAAAATCGAAGGATTACTAAGGAATTAATTCTAATTTCAGCTGTAAAATTTACCATGATCACAAATTTGTAGCCCAAATTGCAAATTAAACGCTTAGCTAGGAAATGTTGGCTTTTCGAAACTGATTTCTTACAATTGATGAAATGAAAGGAATATGAACGATTTCTCAGGCACAAATGTTGACGAATTTCGAACGTCTTAAAAGAAAAATCCAAGAAATAATACGTGAGAAATTGGGAAAATGTAAACTAGCCTCTACGAGTCCACAAAGTATATACATAACTAAGTTTATCCGCGTGTAATTTCCTTTGAAAACTAATCTCTTAGTTTTGAAGATAAATGCATAGATCTGTCTTTCTGTTGCAAGCAGTCTGCTGGATCCGATCGGAGTGAAGCACTATATCATATACTTGCATATAGTTATAGCACTAAATGAAGGAAGGAAGGAATGAGTGTACTTTAGGAAAATCTTTCAGTTCTTCAAAATATGCTGCAAGATTGACAAGACTCCTAACAAATCTGTAAGGCTGTATGAAATCGAACTACTTTATAATATGGTTTTAGTAGAAATAATCCATCGAATTAAGACTTCTGCCAGAGTATTTCAACTGCGGCGTGCAGAAAAAAAGCAGTTCCTTCTTTTTTATGATTGCAACAGAATTGGTGTTGTGGAGCCCATATAACCCATTAACCCCATGCCTGGGCAGCCTCGGAGGCTGACCACAAATTCACTTTCCCATTGTGGTTAAAAATTAAGCGCACCACGCAACTAGCAACTAGCGTGGTCGGTGGATTTAGACCGCAACATAAAACAATTTATGCCGACAACTGTGCGAAAAGCTAAATGAAAAGTGAAGTTGATGATGGGGGACGACACAAAAAGGTAAAACGGCAGCGAGACGACATTACTTGAGGCAAATGATGGGCGTCTTGGGCTGTTTGGGCGTCTGCTCCTGGCACTTGGTGGTGACAACACTGACGCTGACGTCGTCATTTATATCCAGCGGGGCGGCGAGTGGTGCTGCAGCAACCGGAGACTGACTGTCGCCGGCAGCACCATTTGTCTTAAGGCGCACCACATGCGCCAGCTTTGTGGTGGCCGCAACTGCAGCAGCCATCACATTGCCATTGTTATTGGGCAACGTGTTGATGGGCTTCTGCAGCAGCTGATTGGAGGAGTCCAGGCGATTCGATAGCGAGGTGTGGCGATTGTTAACCGACTAAAATTTGTAGAACATCTTAAGAAGTTGCTTCAAATTAAAGCCCTGTATCAACTCAAAGTTTCGGATACTCGAAAAATTACTGTGGTTAAGCGAGTCAAGACATAACAATTTTCGGCTCAAACAGTTCGAGTTGCAGACAACAAAAATTAAAACGGTTAGCTCGAACATGTTCGACTGACAGACTCGAGCAGGTCGAACCTGGTTTGTATGAATATCTTTGGGTTTAGTAAATCGGTATTTCTGTTAA